GTTCATCAATTGATAAAATCAATTCTGCAATTAGAGAGTTGCTCAGATGAATAAAAATAACTATTAAAAAAAATCAATTACTGTAATGATATTAAATTTCAAATTATTATTAATAATCCCTCTAATGTATTGGCATTGTAGAAATAGAAATACAAAGGTTTTAATTAAAAATAATCTAATAATTAATATCAATATGATTAAAATATTTGATAGAAAATAAAATTTTTTGAATTATGATGTCATATCATCAATATTAAGATATTTAATGAATTTTCTATATTATTATTATATTTTTATCTATTTGATGAAGCGGATTTTATGAATATTTAAAAAATTTTTATAACTTCAAATTAATCGATACAATTTTTTGCCATTCGAAATTATTGATGCCAATATCTTTTTTTTTTTTAGTTGAAATTGAAACTTTCTATTTTGCCATAAGATTCCAAATATAAAACAATGAGATATAAAAATTACGTAAAGAACATTTAATTGTTTCAATTGATGAACAAGTGTTGTAAGTTACATTTTATTATTTAAAAATAATAATTTATCATATTGATATGTCCAGATTGTAATGAAAACGAATGTTCCATTTTTTATCGTACCAATATTTATGCTGTAATTGTGATGTAATTATTTCCATATTAATAAAACAATTCAATGTAAAGATGAAATTACTACTTTAATTTATAAATTGATGAAATAAATTCATATTCAATTGAACTAAATTGAAATATTTTAGCTCCGAAAAATCAGTTATAAATTCAAAATATTCATAATTTATTATTCAGATGATCAAATACAACACATTATCTTGACTTATTTAAATTAAACATTACACTTTAATTTCCTATTTTGTGAAATAAATTCTACAGTATTGTGTAAAATGAAATTGACAACTTTATATTTGAAAACATTTCTTTTTAAAGCTTAATAGATGAAAATTAATATTGAAATTAACATGTATTAATAAGCAATGCTTTTAAAAATAAAAAAAATTAAAATACTTGAATATAAATTATCATTACAGCGATAGAATATGCAGCAATTCAATTTATATTTAAAAAAGAAATCAAACTTGATCTCTTATTTTGTAAAATTAATTTTCATGTCAATAGATATTGCAGAATAATTGAAAATTCATACTCCTAGGGATATGAAGTTGGAAATAAAATTTTCCAGATGGCATTTTTCGTGAAGTAGCATATTACAAATTGAATTTTATGTACGACAGAATAGTACCTATGAAGGAATAAAATATATTCAATAGTTCTTATGCATTTTCAAGCCGATTTATTCCTCATCAATATTGAAAGTGCGCACTTGAAGATCAAAAAGAGAAAAAAAAATAGAGAACCCTGTATGGATACTCTCTTCAGTGTAAGTTTCTTTTATATACTTTTCTCTCTTTCCTCTCTACCCAACTTGCCGACATTCTTCGTCTCACTGAATATCTTTCTCTCTTGTCGTTTCCTTTAGAGTCCAACCGCCTTCTTCAAATTGTCCGCTCAACAGTCTGGCCAACGAAGCTTTATAGAAATCCTACTGACTCCATTCACGAAATTTTGTCGGCAATGGAAGCAAATTCAATCATGTATTTTATTATTGGCGAACAGAGAAGCCCATACAATAATAATATCCTTCCATTTGTCAACTCTTTTATTACAGTAAATTTAGTTGTAAGACAATGTTACAAATGATATAAAATTTATGCTTGATTAAAAACTTTTTTTTAATAAATTCGAGCAATTATATTGGAGTGAGAGGTATAAATTGTTCTGTGAGATAAATGTATCAAAGCGACAGCATATTTTTTCGACCACCTGTTCTTATAAATTGCTTGAATAAATATGAGAATAGCGCATGACATAAGGTAAAACTGATATTGCCTCAAGATATTCACTAACGATTACAGTCTACAAAAAGAAAATCAAGTTTCAGGATACGCTTTCGACGCCACTGTACTGCCAGTCAGTCTCGGTCGTTTCTCTGGGATCGGCCCTTCAAGGGGCGTTAGGCTTCTGTCTCTCTTGCGAATTGAGAGAAGGGGATCCTGCAACGTAGGGAAAAACCCCATAATTTCTCCCACTATACCACGTGTGCTATTAGTCTTACCAACATGTTGGTATTGTTGCTAAAGTGACGAGAAATGGAAGCTTATTTTTATACTGCGTGCATGAGTTATTGTTTTACACAACAAAATATAACTACATTTACCTTTAAATGAGAATAATATTGGTAATAACGGATGGCTGTAGGGTAAAGTTTTCATCGTAAAGTACTGAAGGTAAATTAGGTTTAACCCATTGGTAGAGTGAGTATAAATTGAAATGATGAAATTAAATTCAAGACTTTCAGAGAAACAGAAAGTGGAGATCTATTGGTAACACGTCTGTAACATTTGTTGTTGATTTGAGGAAAAAGTAAAAAGTGGATGAACTGGACTTGGTGTAGAAATAAATTGCTATGAATCTAAAAGAAAAAATAATGTCATAATGAGGAATGTTGCTTTATTGAGTTTTGATAAAAAATTTATTCTTGAAAAAATATGTTCATGTTCTCAAATGATTAATAAATGTTGATAAATTGAAAAAAGAGAATTCTTTTTAAATTTATTACTGTAATTGGAGCAAAACTATTTCTTTAAAAAATAAGTATTTTTTCCATTTTTTTTTAAATTATTCGCTATATTTAACATTCTAAGGCATTTATTCATGAACAATGTAACTTTAGCACCCTTCAAAAAATATTAATAGAAATGTTGAAAAGAAGAGACAAAAATATTTGTTTCCAGTTAACTATTTTATTCAAACAAGTAATTTAATTTTGTGTCACTGATGAAACTTATCTACAAAGAAAAAAAAAATTACTGATCACAAAAAATATAATATCTTTTTTTTTTGGTAGAATCCCTTCGCACTGTGTAAAATCAATGTTAAATTGTATGGAAACGAAATTGTTTTGTTTTCACGATATTCTTGATAAATTAAATATATATACGTGAAATTGAGTCAAATATTTTACTGTTGAAACTTTTCTAAAAATATAAAAATGAGTTCGAAAATTATTGATTACATGGAACAGAAGATAATAAATTAGAAATTGTGGTGTGTATTACAGATCACGTAATACATGATCTCTTTTGAAATATGATCTTCAAAATCTATTAATTTTGATTAAAAATGACTTTTTTATATTTTTTTTATCCAAAAACCAACGTTAATAAATATCTATTGATTTAAATTTTGTTGTTAGAGTCTGCTAGTAATAAATCGAAATTTTTTTGTTAATTTGTCATACTCATTTGCCATTTTTACTTCAAAATATCGATGATTTATTAAAAAGAAAAAAGTATTTCTCTCATGAAAAATTTTGAATTAAAAAAATTATTCATATCATGTAAAAATTTATGAAAATGAATGAAGTGAAAAACAAAAAAAAATATGACTTTTTGATCTCTCGTGTATATTAGAGTATTCAAAATCTACCAAAATTTCAAAACGAAAAAATTAAGTAGAGAATTTTCGCAGGGAAATTTTATTTAATATTGAAAAGATGAGAATAAGGTAGAAAAAAATATGAGCACGTCATTAATCCTCTTTTTTAACGAGCTACGAGTGCATGATCCTGAGGAGTAGGTTGGGATAAAATTAGCCAAGGGTAGGATGAGCAAACGAGTAAAAAAAAAATAAAAAATAAAAGTGGGATAGAAAGATAGATCGGGTTGGGTCCCAGTTAGATTTTGGTCTGGTTGGTGAATTCTTTCTCTCTCTTACTTGTGACAGAAAGGGAGAAAGGAAGTCGTGTATATGGAGGGTAGGTTCCGTGGTCGTTTTCCCCACCTAGTGATGATGGCGCACCGGTCGCGTTGGGCGCACGAGAGGGAGTAAAACAACGAAGCGAGGGACGCCGACGTCGGGACGTCGCAACGCGCACTTCAGTTACCAACAGACCGCGCGAGCGTTCGTACAAGTGTGACGTTAAAGTGTGCGTCAGAGAAACGAACGCAAATGTTAACAAGACCGTGAGAGAGTGAGTAGGAGGATTAACTGCATTATAATTAGTATAGTGGCGTGGAATAAGAAGAAGAAAAAATTGTGTGCATTTTAGTCGTAACAAACAAAGGATAACTGCTGGAAAGAATTGACAAGGAGAGAAAGAAAGAATAAGCGAGAGGAGTGACTCGCGTGGGCAGTTTTAGATCGGCAAACCGTCCTCGAACTCCCGCGTCCGTTCGCCCTGCTCTCGCTCTCGTGTCTTCTCGTGCGCGTCCGCATACGCGAGTTCATCCGAGGAAGCGGTCAGTCACGTAGTAGCGTTCAAGCTGTGAGCAACAAAGGAACATCGAAGCTGAAGTGAGACAAACAGTAAGGGAGAGACAGTTTTGTTCAGTGTGACCTTCAAATAAATACTAAACTAGAGAATAATATTATACAAATGATTGAAAATTCGTTCTCACAGTTGTCATATTTTTCTCAGCGTGAGTGTACCGTATTATAACGCCTCATTGTCGTGTACTTAAGTGGCGTCCAAAACATTCCTTGTTGTGTATGTCCCACGTTATTACCTAGTTTATTTTTGTTTTCATTGATAATATTGATAATAATATTTTAAATTCTGTGATTTTACGAGAAAACTGTAGTGGTTGTGTCTTAAATATCAAACTAAAACCACATCTTTGATACTTGTGAAACGCGTTGTAAGAGAACCGGCAACCCAACCTAACGGTCGACAGAGAGACGACGCCGGGAACACACACGCGAGTCCAGAAATTATATACGGAGGAAATTTTAGGTAGTTAAAGTGAATCACAAAATCACTTTACAAACTGTACGAGTAAAGACATTGTGATAATACGTCATTTGTATTTGTCTGGTTAAAGTTGCCTTTTACGTACACGAGTTTTGTAGTGAAAAATATCGAACGTGTGAAGCAAAAATTGAATTGAAAGGGAAACCATTGAAAGAGAAACAAGAAATTTAACCGGCCAAGTGTACTTATCTTAAACCAAGAAGTTGGAATTCACTTCCCGCGATCGCTTTCTTTGTGTGATATGTACCACGTTGGAAACGGAGTTTGAAGAGGAATTTTTACGAGAGCCTGCGGATTATTCTCGTCTATACGGTGAGTTTTTTCTATGATTTATATTGCGCCACGTGCTCATATCGACCAGTTTGCCGAGTCTTTTCGCTTTTCGTACGATTTCCGGCAGATGTAAAGACAAAAAATGTCAACAAGTGACGTGCGGTGATTTATCGTAAACCTTAAATTTGGTGTTTCTTTATGTAGAATAATAAACTAACTTTTTTCTATTCTGCGTTGTTGAATTATACCCTACTATATATACACTAGTATAGCACATGAAATCGATACGAAACTATGCCCGTTGTTGAGTCTCACTGAGATACGACGGAGAAATTTTCAATGTATGCTTTTCATTCATCTAAAGACGTAAAAGTATTCCATAGTAAGTCTATTGGTAATTACTTTGAGGTCTCAATTTCAATGTGACTCCAATACCTTTATTTATAGTGGTTTAGAAAATTTTTGGTAATTTACTAAACAATCTACATATCTCTTCTCTACTGCTGTTATAGTAATTTAATTTATCATAACATGTTGAAAATGTTTAATGATTTAAAATGTGAAAAAATCTTTCTTAAATTATATACAACTATAAAGAGCCGTGACAGATTACAGATGAGTTTGAGATGGTATAAAAGAAGTTGAGCGACGACGAGACAGACAGGGAACGCGTGGAATTTTTTCTCAGGCTCAAGGACGGGCAGCTGCAGTAGAAGAAGCGAAAATTAGCCGGTTATTCATATAATTGTATCCCAGTGTAGTGAGTGTATATATCGGGGTGTTTCGTTCGTTTTCGTGAACGAGTTAACGGCTGATCGAGGGAGAGAGAGAGAGAGAGAGAGAAACAAAGAAAAGAGAGTTTGAAAACTAACAATCCAAAGTTCCGGAATGTTTTGTTCTTGGGGACATGAACAAAACCTAAAACTATTACAAATTTTCACTCGTTTCTTTGTCACAAATATTTTTCTTTTACTTCTGTGTTATCTACCGGAGAAAAGGAAAACTTTGAAATAGCCAAAGGAAAATCGAAACTTTGTTAAATTTCAGATGTAAAAATAAGTTATCCACATACATGTATTTCTGTATTTATATGTGAATAAAAACTTATGGAAATTGAATGGGCGAGAAATTCTACAGTCGCTTTCCCTCAGGGATACTTTAACAAATTGCTTTGTATTCAATCTGATGTAAGCATTATTACTGAAATTTATGAATTACTCATTAAACAATAAGAATTTAATTTCATAGTTTCATTCAACACAATTGAAATATCATAGAAAATTAAGTACTCCTTTGCCACTCCTCTAAAATGAATATCCGACAGAGAAAGAGAAAATTCCACTTGCAAGAAGGTGGATAGGAAGGTTAATTGAACGTCGTTTAGCAAGTTGAGGAGGTGTCGCACTTACCTCGGTGACGGTTTAATTATCAAAACGATATGCTGAAGAGACGGTCTTGGCCACGAATAAATGAAAGAAGAAAGAAATGAACTGCAAAGGAATTTTTTTTTCTTCTCAAGTATATATATTTAGTTGGCAACAAGTTGAACCTCATGGTAGTCAAGTCAATTTTTCGGTGACCTTCAGTAGAACGCCCTTGAGAGGAATTCGAATGAGAATTTATATTGTCGATAGGAGAAAGTTAACGATAACATTACGCAATGAGAAAGAGTAGTCACGTTGCAAAACTCTTCGAGTATATATTTTTCACTTTTTTTCATTAGTACTGCTATATTTCTTACAGATAATCTTATTCTTCAATTCGATTGTTGCAAACCGTGAGAATAATCTAACCAACAAATTATCTATGTGAATGTAGTGGAAGTTTACTCACTGAACTTGAACGCTCACGCCCTCTCACGATCCAAAGTGCTGTTCTTATTCTCTCCCTCTCTCTCTCTCTCTCTCTCTCTCTCTCTCTCTCTCTCTCTTTCTCCATTTTTTTCTTTTTCCTCCTCCGCCTCTTCACTTCCCGTATACCCATAGACGTAAGATTTACGAGGCACAGGAGACTTCAAGCAACCCAATAAACGACCAATCGTCATAAACGTGCTGAAACGAAAACTGAAATGTTCTGTTTCCGCCTGTGTTTCTATCTCAAAATCTTCAATTTCACTCTCACCACCAATTCCAAAGTTTTTTCCAGCTATTTTATATAATACCTTTTTACGTAACATTGTTAGTAGCCCAATAAACATTGATAAACTGAGGTAATGTAATTGATGGAGATTGTTGATTGACATAAGAATATTATAATGACAATGTGAGCATGTAATAAATGTTAAATCATCAAGCTTTTATGATTATATGAAAAGGTACAATTAGATGCAATACAATATTATAGCTCAGTCTATGTGACCAAAATTGATTGTTTTCCATTTTGCTCATCTAAATAAATTATTATAATATGGTCCATCTGGACAAATATTTACTGTATGATTGAAAACTTTATTTTGATTTTATTTAATATTATGATTGAAAATATTAATAAATATAATTAGTTCGAGTTAAAAAAAAATTTAGAAATTAGAGACAAGTATTAAATATAAAAGTTGAATTTTTGAATTATTAAGTTTTTATAAGTTATAAAGTTTACACAGTAGAATTGAACAAAAAAAAATTACTTTCTCATAACTTTTGATGACTTATCCTAGGTCGTAGCAAATAAAAGCTAAATTGTTTTTTTATTCAGCAGTTTATTTTACATTTGTTAGTATGCATCTAAACGCAGAATACAATGGAAATTTGTATAAATGTTTTAGGCATAAAAAATTTTTAAAATAGAAAAGAAGAATAATGAAAAAATGCAAGTAAACAAAGTAATTAAAAAACAAAGCAAAATAAAATATACCAAAAAATTCTTGGTTTCATCAGAGTCGAGTTGGACGTTGCACTAGGAAAGGGATTAACTCACAATTCTTGTTCAATTTGCGCCCAGGGTACGAAAGATCGAACGATTCGAATAAATCAAGTCTAACAAAATTCTCTTTTTTTATCTACTTTGTTCATATAATTACTTTATTCAATTAATTTCATTTAATTGACCTTTTCTATTTTAAACGTCAAGTCTCACTGTGTGTACGACAAAAAAATTCAAATATTTGTTATCAAATGTGCTGTTAGCAAATGAGTAAACTTCTCACGTCAAGAAATTTTTATCCACGTGGCTCATTTGTGAGTCACATTAATCGATTATTTTCTTAGAGCGTTTAAAAGACGAATACCAGACTTGCCAAGCTAAACCTTAAGTATTACAAGTTGGTTATTACGTACATACGTCCTCATTTAGTTCTGATACATTTTTTGATAATGATAGAGAAAAAAGACATTTACTTATCATCAACGATTCGTTAAGACATCACAGTAATTTCCGGTTACATTCAAACGTAGGATCTTTTAACAAAAATTAATGTGTCATAAAGTGAAAAATGAATGAGTTGAATTAAACTCTCATGTAGATGGATTTGCCGCTGGCGAAAGTAATATCTACGTTATTACATTTACATATATGTGTACTCCCAAGTATATATAATATGCTTCCTACTACTCATGTGTTTAATTACGTAACAACCGTGGTAAAGGAGAACGCTCGTCAGAGACAAGGCTTGTGGCATTTTCCAGAAAATTCACGGTCGAATAAAGATTTTTATTAATTTCTTTAGTTTCTTTCTGTCGTAGTTGACATTTATTCCATTTACTCTGTACTCTGGAGGGTAATGTAATTGTATAAAAATATACAAGATTATATTTTATATTTGTTTCTCACATTGAGAAACCAGTTCATGCTCATAGTATATAGTGAAAGGGAAAGTCTTTGTCCTCCGTAATATCGTAAGAGATAGAAGTCATTTAGAAAGGACATAAAATCTGTAACTCTTTTTTTCCAATTTACTTTTCGATATTTTAGCGTTATTTTTTTCTTCATTACACCGTTATGATATTATGAAAGTGCTTTGTAAAATGATGATGTAATTCCGTAATAGTTGAACCAATTTTCTCTTGCTTGACGATCAAATTCTGTGCGAATAAGAAAATTTAAGCGGGACAATAAATGAAATGATTAAATAATTGTTTCATGTGAATTTGATTTTAACTTGTATACTCGTCGTTGTTGCAAGTATATAGCCTTGTTCTCTTACGTGACTTTTGAACACATACGTGATTCTCCATGTTTCAGCCCGCTTCTTCTACGCACGCTCGTGAGCGAGGACATGACAGACAAAGAAATACTAGTGTCAACTCATGCATCTCTTTCTCACTCGATCGATTGATCTCACTTGTGTTCTATGTCTGACCAGTGAAAGATAAGAGTAAATAAAAAATCAACATTAGCCGATTAATTTTTTTTTTCAATCGTATTCGAAAACTAAATAAAAATAATCTATACATTCATCTACTTACTTGCTTCCGTCATAGTGCTTTTCTTCGTATTTGCGTTCCACTTTACTAGCATTTCATCATTGTATTTATATTCTAAAAAATGCGACAAAATTTATATTGGATACTATTGATAAGATAAAATAAGTAAGAAAATGAACTAACCGACTTAAGTATGCTGAGAAAAAAAATATTTCTGTCAAATATTTGAATTGAGCAAAATATTCTAAATATAAAATTCTATCAATCGATCAAACTAGAGAAAGTTCAACTCTGAAGTATTGGATCGAGTTGGTTTGATTCGAGTTTCAAATCGGTTTCCAATTGCTACGAGTTTTGTTTGAACTGGATATTCTGTATATAAGTTATTCAACTTATATATTTTCTTATTGACCCACTCGCAAGTGTGTTTACAAAGTAGCAAAGCGCATGATTAAGTTTGTTTTGAGCCGAATGAGTTTTTATGAATTATTGATAAATATACTATGTACAAGAGTCGTTAAACTAGAGTGTTAAACACACTTTAGAGGTCATATCATTGCACACAAAACATACGCGTTGCGTAGTGTAAACATGTATATATATATATATATTGCTCTATATAAGGTTGTATCTGACGTGTGTAAAGACGATTCGTTGTGTCTTGTACCATCGCAAGATCGA